AAAATTGTTTTTGCTTTGGGCGGCAAAAATCCTAGAGCCGGCCCTAGTAACAGCGCCTTTGCTACTGGGCAAACCTTTCCCTCTGCAGCTGGAACCTGGGAGAAGAGGATAAGGAGACGGATGGACGAGCCCAGACACAGAGTTTGTCTGATAATCATGTCACTGACCCTCCCCACAGTCCCTAGGCCAGTCTCTGCAGTGTTGGGTGATAATGGTGATGTCATCAGTACGTGATGTGGTCTTTTGCCTTGGCCCAATACTGACCCCATAATCACTGTGTGGACCAGTTCTGCTGGGGGGAAATACGAGCCAGTTTGGGCTTTGTCTGACTCTGGGCAGAGGAGTGTCAGGCTGGAGAGAAGGGACAATGGGGACTGCTCGGCCCACAAAGCTGGACATGTTCTAGTCCACAATTAGCAGCAATCTGCTCCTCTGCACAGGCTCTTTGCTGCTGGAGCTCCCGGCAAATGTTTCCCACCAACACATTTGCCTCCACAGGTCTAGATTCTGACTCGGGTTGTACCATTGCTCCTTTGACCTGAGCAGTTAGCCAGTGTTTGGGGCCTTGCTAGGTTCTTCCATAGGGAGGATAAATTGATTATAGGAGTCAGGTATTTCTTTGGTGCAATCTTTATTGGTTACAAACCATGTCCACACATTCCTGTGCCCTGAACTCGGTACAAACAAACAGCAGACGGCAGTTTCCTTACTCAGAACTCCATGTCTGCCTTTCCAGGGAACCCTGTGCCTGAATCCAGCTCTGTCTCTCCGTTTCCTCCTGGGATCACACTCACGACTGCTTCTCTTGGCTTTCTGCCTCACACACCAAGCTGCCAGCCAGTCCCTCAGCCCGTGTTTTCAGCCAGCTCCAGGGAAACCTCTCTTAGGCCTGCTCTACACTTAGGTCAACCTAGTGCTGTCACTCAGGGCTGTGAAACATTGTGTTCCTTGAGTGCCACAGCTAGATCGACCTAACCCCCAGTTCAGACAATGGAATTCCGCTGATGACCTGGCAACGGCCTCTCAGAAAGTGGGATTAACTAGAGCGATGGAAAAATCACTTCTGTCAATGTAGGAAGCATCTACACTAGGGCACTTCAGGGACACAGCTGTAGCATTGTAGCTGTGTCACTCTAGCCACTGTAGTGTAGACATACCCTTGTTCATCCTGAGGCCTAGTCCACCCCTAAACCTTAGGTCAGCCTAGCTACATTGCTCAGAGCTGTGAAAAATGTCACACCCTGTGTGATGTAGTTAGGTTGATATAACCCCGATGTAGACACAGATAGGTCAAGGGAAGAATTCTTTGTTGCCCTAACTACTGCCTCTCCCAGAGGTGGATTAACTGCATTGAAGGAAAAACCCCTTCTATCAATGTAGGATGTGACTATGCTAGCCATTCATTTCTACTGGATATTGGGATGAATCACATTCCCCAGTCCCTGGCTCTCCCTCTGCTAGTATCCCTGCTGGTGTGGAGTCTCTAGTTTCTCCCCCAAACTTCAATTAATTCTGTGTCCCTGCCACCCGCACATCTGCCTGTCCCCAGCCTGGCTGTTAATTCTACCCAACAACCCCACATCACTTCTGCCCCCCAGCCCCTCCTTTAGTTCTGACCCTGCAGGCCCCACATCTGCCCCTCAGGGCCCCTCTGCTCCTCCTGCAGCTCCAGGGGCTCTTCACCCCCCTTCCCCCTCCAACCCCTGGTGTTGCAGGGAGGGAGTGGGAAGGAGCTTCCAGGGGTCATAGAGCTAAGAGGCCAGGAAGCCAAGCTAAGAGATTGGGAAGACAGGAGTTCTCCAGGCCATAGGTGCTAGGATGACTGTGGCTAGAGAAGCCCATTCTTTCATTCCCAGTGGGCTGTTCCCCCCCCCCCCCATGTCTCAGTGCCACTGTCTGACCCAGGATCCCCAGAGTCCTCCTGGACCATAGAGGATAGTGACAAACAGGCTGCACAATCCCTGGAGCAGTGATGAAATTGGCTTCTCTACCTCACTCACTCAATGCTCTCTATGGTTTGACCAGAGCCGTAACTAGCTGTTTTTGAGCCCGAGGCAAGAATATAAAATTGCCCCCCCCCCCCCAGCGCCGGACCCCCCAAAACACACACACACACACACACAGCACCGCCCGGCCCCGCGGAAACAGTCCCCCTCTTCCCCCCCAGCTCCGCCTGCCCCGTGGAAACAAACTCATCCTCCACTCTCCTTCCCAAACTGCTGACTAGATAAAACCATCAGCTCACAAGGCTGCTAGGCTCATCCAGACTTTCCTTACCAGGCACATTGCCACTCCCAACAGATACACTGCTGCTCTTCTCACTACACTGAGCTACTTCCAGCAAATCACAGTTACTCTTTTCAGGTTCCTTTTTACAAGCTGTACTAGCCACCAATCCATCACCCATCCAAAATCTGCCCTTTCCTCCCTCCGTCAGGACTTTCACCTGACCAGCCACTTTAATCTGCTCCTGAGGAACATTGTCCTGACCAGTGAGATCTTTCTGCTCTTGATCTAACTTCAGATTTACTTCTGAGACATTAGACAGACATTCAGAAACTTCATTTACAGACAAACAGCTCTTCTCCTCAGACAAACCTTTGGAGAAACCCTCCAAAGGCAAATCATTGCCCACAATAGACACAGGTTTAAGATCATTCCTGTCCTGTGACTGGCTACCTGGGGTGGGAGGGGACTGCCATCACATGTGGTTTCCTTCCTCCTCTGCTGCCCCTCGCCATAGCCTCACTGGGGGTGGGGGATGGGGCTGCCCCTTGTCCAGTTTGCAGGAGTGGTGTCTGGGGTGTGTGTGTGCGGCTCACAGGGTCAGACACTCACCGAAGCCCCAGCAGCTGCTCAGATGATGAGTGAGGTCCACTGCCGATGATCCTGTCTCCCACTGGAAGCCCCCTCAGCGTCTTCTCCAGGCGAGTGCTGGGGGAGGGGAGGGCTCTACGTCTCAGAAGCATGTGTGTGCCTCTGTCCTCCCCCCAAGGACACTGTGAGGATGCGGTTCTGGCAGCACCCAACTGAGAGTGCTAATTCAGGACAAATCGCTTAAAACAGGGCAGTTACAGCCCACGGCTGGGGTTTTTCCGCCCCTAAGGCAAACCAAACCAGCCAGACTAAGAGGACTTTGGTCTCACCCCACTGGCTAACCACAAGTCACACAAGCAATTCCCTTAGACACTCCAGTTTCCCAGTATCACCACCAGTGTCACTCGTTATGGGGATGAATGGTTATGAAAACCAATGCCCCAGTAAAAGAAAAAGGTTCGCCTGATCCCAAAGGACCAAGACCCAGACCCAGGTCAATATACAAATCAGATCTTACCTACAAATCACAGTCTCTGGTTGCCATAGAGGCAGCAGTAGCTGAGAGAGCAGCTGACACTTGCGCCCCTAGGCTTTGCATACCTGAGGCAAGTGCCTCACTTGCCTCGCCCTCGTTACGGCACTGGGTTTGACAGTCCAGAGGCTGCACAGAGTTGGGACTGGAAGCAACCTCCAGGGTCATAGAGACGGCATGATAGAAAGTCCACAGGGAGAGGTGATAGAGACAAGGGTGTGTGAGGCTAGAGAGGCTGATTTCAGGGCCCCAGTGGGATATTCCTCTCCCCCCCACCCCATGTCTCAGGGACACAGTCTGAGCCAGGATCCTCCCACCCAGAGCCAGGGTCGGATTCTCTCCCCAGGGACAGAGCCCGGCGGGAAAGTGAAGATCGGGGCCTCGTCACCAGCATCGATAAATGTCACCTGCCCCTGGTCACAGTCCAGACAAACCCGGATCCTGCTGGGGGCCCGGCTCAGGGGCAGGGAGGTCACAGGGGAGGTGAGAGCCTGGAAGTGACTCCCCCACTGCCCCACAGCCCAGATCCCCCCCTCAGGGTTAAGACTGATCTTTTCCTTCCTCCTCACAGACTCCCTGGCCACCCCCACAGCCCAGCCTCCCCCACCCCCCACCTCCACCTCCCAGCAATGTCTCCCCGAGGTGAATCCCTCACAGCCTAGCAAACAGGGCTCAGTGCCAAATCTCTTAGGGTTGTTGGGCAGTCGCTGCCGTGTGTCTCCCCATTTCACGCTTTTTTGATCTTCAGACAGGATGAGTTTGGGATGAGCCGTGTCTGGATCCAGAGTCACATTTGCTGGGGAGAGAGAATCGGAGCGTTAGGGGCAGAGCTCGGCCCTGGTGGAGGCTGGGACCATTTCTCACACTCCCCAGCAGCCCTGTCCTGGCTGTGACAGTCCTGGATCCCAGGGAGCTGCCTCTGTCTTGGGCACCTGAGACTGAGCAGAGATGTCACTGCAGTTTCTCTGTCTTTGCAATGGGACCCACTTCATTAGTTTCCCATTTATTGCAGAGGCTTCTGCTCCCCGTTCTGGGACTTCTCCATTCCCAGCAGCACAGACAGACAGGAAAGTGTCAGAAGCTTTTAATGAGAAGGGAGCAGAAGAAGCACGTACCAGCTTTAAGCCCCAGAGGGAAGCTCTCTCCCCTAATGAAGCCTCCATTCCCAGATCAGGGAACAGAGAGGAAGGTGCAGCATTGGGGAAGAGCTGCTTAATACCAGAGAGTAGGAAGTGGCATTAGGTGGAGTAGCCCCATCCCCAGCCCAGAGAGAAGGGAGGAGCTGCCAGAATCAAAGGGAGACCATCTCCCCAATCCAGCGACCATTGAGCAGCTGCAATGGGAGAGCCCAGCCCTGCCCAAAGGAAAGGCAGGATGTTGGAGAAGAGCGATGGGGAGCCCCCCTGCACTGGGGTAAAGCAGAGGGATGTGTCAGCCCTCAGGGAAGAGAGCTCTGTTCGGGTGCTGCTCAGGGAGAGTGTTTCTGTTCATCAGCGTGGGCATGAACTCAGCACTAACCTTGGTGTCAGGATTTTTTGTGGTCAGGTTGGGATCTCCCCAGGAGTGCATGAACATTGGTAGAATTGGGGGAGGAGGGGGGAGGGAGCACGAGGTCCTGCAGCCTGTGGCCTCACTCCTTCCATGGCCCTGCCCTACATCTCCTCTTCCCACTAATGTCCCGCCCCCAACCAGGCTGGGAGCCTTGGCCACTGTGGAGAGCCTCTGACCCTCCACCTGCTCTGGGCCGAGGTCCAGGGGGCCTGAAAGCAGCCCCTGGGCCATGTCCCCGCTCCCCGGAGTGCACCACTCAGGGCAGGTGGAGGGTCCAGGGCTCCCCAGTGCAGCCTGGGCTCCCTAGGTGACAGCCTAGTTCTAGCTCCTGGCCTGGCCAGGGGGCAGGACCTTGGAGGAAGAGCAGGGCCGGCTCTAGGATTTTTGCCACCCAAAGCAAAAACAATTTTGGCCGCCCCCCCGTTCTTTAATTACCCCACCCCCGGCCCCGCCTCAACTCCGCCCCTTCCCCAAATCCCCAGCCCTGCCTCCTCCCCCC